CATGCGGGAGGTAATTTAGATTAGAAAATAATAACAATAATGCAAAAGGGGCTATAACAAACTTTGACCTTAAAATATAAATTGGTTAATCAAGTGCGAAAACATAGGATAATAATGAGGGGACGGATTATGTATTATATTGATTTGAAAATATATGTATAATGGGGAAATGGCACCATAATTGTACATGATAGTTTTTTACGTAATTACCCTTAATAAAAGGTATAGATTACACTATCCATAGGTACAATTAACATTATCGGTGGCCAATCATCACTAAATATATTTGGAATAAAATTTAATATAAAGACTTGGTTAATTAAATGGGACAACATAGGGTAATAATGAGGGGACGGGTTAGGTATTATATTGATTTGAAAATATATGTATAATGGGGAAATGATACTGTTATTGTGTAATTAACAGCTGATAATATGGAGAGACTGGGAAGGGGTTAACATATCATGTATGTATAATGTGGAAATGGTACTGTTATTGTATATAAACAGCGGATAATAGGGGAAAGAATGTGAAGGGGTTAACATATCATATATATATTAACAATTTATTGTAATGTTTTTATATTAAAACTATAAGTGACAGTCACAAATTTCTGATTTGATTAATGTGCGCTAGCACCACCTTATTATCTATTTTTATTTCCCAAATAACATTACTGATTCTCCCAATAACAATCCCTACATGCCATTCTTGACTGACGCCTACTTTGACAAAAACAGAGTTGCCAAATGTTAATTCTCTGAACTTTATTCTTTTAATTTTAGGTCGTATATCACAGTCACTGTCCTTCAAAAAACTCCATTTCCATCTTAGTTCCCTGCCGAATAATCTAAAAGCAGGTGAAGTTTTGGTTGCCGAATGTGTGGTATTGCGATAATTTAATAACACCTCTTCCAATAACCTATCATCCCAACCACCTAATTTATAAATCATATCCTTAGCTGAGCGTACCGCTCTTTCAGCCATACCATTTGAAGACGGATGGTATGGAGGAGTAAATATATGTGTTATACCTTTTTTTAATAGAAAATTCTTAAAATCATACGACTTAAAAGCTGGTCCATTATCAGAAACCAACTCTACCGGGTAACCAAATCTAGAAAATATATTATTTAATACCATAATCGTGGTATTCGTAGTAATATTTTTAACCTTGATAATCTCAAGCCATCGAGAGTACACATCAATTATCACTTATCCATAATAATTCTTAATGGGTCCAAAAAAATCAATAAAAATACGATACCAGGGTCTGCTCGGATCTACCCAATGATTATTTCTAACCCTTGGTAATTTTGGAGCATTTACCATACACATATTACACCTAAAAACCATTTCCTTGATGTCTCTTTTAACCCCGGGCCACCAAAAATATCTTTCCATGATATCAATCATCCTAGACAAACCTATATGTCCCTCATGAAGAACAGTTAGAATCTCTTTTCTTAGCGATTGGGGGATAACAATCTGCTCTCCCTTAAAAATACAATCATTTTTAATAAACAACAACTTACCTAACTCCATATATACTTTAATTTGTGTGAAATCTCCCGCTTCATTCAAAATAAATTGTTTAACTTTGATAAGTTCTAAATCTACCAGTCTCTCTTCTTATGATATCTAAATTATTCAAAATTCTCTGGTCATTTAAATCATTATCAATATTAAAAAAACAAATAACATCTTCCTTTATTAACCTAGATAACCCATCAGCAATAAATTGATCTTTACCCCTCCTATAATTAATGTCGAAATCAAACCCGGCTAAACAAAAAGCCCATTTCTGTAGCCTTGGCGACATATTGTAAAGTTAAACCGGATCTATTCCAAACAAATTAATTAGAGGTTTATGATCCGTAAAAATTTTAAAATTCCTCCCTACTAAATATTCCCTCCATTCCTTAACAGCCACAACAATCGACAATCCTTCTTTCTCAATAATCGAATATCTTTTCTCAGCACCCGTCCATGCTTTTGACATAAACTCAATCGGCCTTTTAAGACCATCCTCTTCAACATGAAATAAAACAGCACCCATATCTTTATTAGAAGCATCAGTAGAAATAAATAAATTTTTACTTCTGTCATAATGTGCAAGAATTGGTGCATTGCATAATCTTTCTCTAATCTGATCAAAACTAGTTTTTTCATTAATTCCCCAATAAAACTTTTTACCCTTTTTAAGCAATTCATATAAAATAGATGCCAATTTAGAAAAACCTTCTATGAACCTTGAATAATAATTCATCAGACCCAACCACGAATGAAATTCTTCCTTACTTTTAGGTTCAGTCATGGTACTTATCGGATCAATCTTTTCTTTAATTGGCTGTATACCTTTGTCACTTATCAAATAACCTAAATACTTAATACTCTCTTTGCAAAATTAACTTTTTTTTATATTTCCAATCAAACCAAAATCCATCATTCTTTGAAATACCTTTTTCAATTTATTAAAATGATCTTCCTTATCCTTACAAAAAATTAATAAATCATCTAAATAATACATAACCCCGTTAATGTCAGCAAAAATTTCATCCATGGTCTTTTGGAAATAAGCAGTCGACACTGTAAGTCCAAAAGGTAATCTATTAAATTGAAAAAGACCTTTATGGGTTGAAACGGTTAAAAATTTGGAAGTTTCTTTAGAAATAGGTATTTGCAAATAAGCCGAGGAAAAGTCTATTTTTGAAAATAATCTGCCTTTTCCAACCTTAGCAATAATGTCACTTATCCTTGGAAGCGGATATCCAAACCTTTCTAACTGTGGATTAACAGTGAGCCTAAAGTCAGAAAAACTCTCAAAGCATTATCCTTCTTTTTAACCAAAACTAATGATGTCGCCCATTGGGAAAATATAACAGGGGTTATTATGCCCTGTTGACACCGTTGTTCTAGAATGTTACCTAACTCTTCTTCTATTTCAAACGGTACTCTCCTGGCCTTCAAAAATCTTGGTTTAAAATCACCTTTTAACAAAATATTTATTTTTAAATGTTTTACTTTGCCTATTTTATTATTAAAAACACAATCAAACCTTTTAACTAAATTATTAATATCATAATTAAAATCATAACAATTTTTTTTAATAAACATTGACTGAATAACCAAATTCCCTCTATCAAATCTGTCATTATTTTTACAAGGATTGTTAAAAGTTACAAAATTTACCCTATCTCCTAACTCTTTAGTATTAAAATCAAAATTGAATCTAATCAAATTCTTTGATCCAATCTAGACCACATAAAGGTAGTCCCTCCCCTTCCAAAACATAAAAATCTAAATATTTAATCGTATTTAGAAATTTGACCTTACAATTAATAACTTTACCAATGACTGTGGGCGACCCTTCATACGAGAATAATTTCTTCGAACAACTTTTCAACTCCACATCTTCATCCTTCGCAAGCTTTTCAAACTCTTTCATGGGCAAGGATGACACCGGAGAACCAGTATCTATCATCAAAGAAAAATCATAATTATTAATTTGAAGGTCAATCATAATATCATTAATAAAATTAATTTTATTTCTTGGCCTTAAATTATAAGGTGTTTGTATCATATCCGTCTTTTTGAAATTGTTGTTGTTGTTGTAGGTCCTACCATTATGCTTGTTTTCATTCCATGTCGTATAGCATTGTGTACCATATCTGTCATCTTTTCTCCATGTATCTTTTTCAATGAAGGATTTTTATTATTTATCTCCAATGATTGACATTTGACAACAATCTCCTCAATGATAATCAAGTCTGTCGTGTTTTCTTCTATCAATCTTGTTTTTAATCTCTCATTGTGACAATTAATAATAAATTGAACCGCTATCAATTCTGAATTAAAGCCAGATCCACACGCCTTCAGCCTATTCTCTGGATGACTCTAATCTATCTGGTTTAGCACTAAAAACTTCCATTATACGCGTAATTTTGTTCTTTTCAACTTTTTTTTGTATTAAATCCTTCATTTGCTCATATGATAAATTATCAATCGAATCCATTATACTCACGGCTAAATCTTTATTTATTGTCTCTAACAGTTTATATTTCTTAGTGGGTTCATCAGTTATGTTTTCGGCAATAAATTTTAGGTCAAGGGTTTTGAGTAAGACTTTTATGTTATTATTTCCATCCTCCACCATGACGCATATAAAGAATAATTGCGCTAAAAAGAATCGGTAGTAGAATAAGAATATGTAAGTCTGGTTGCGCTAAAAAGAATAAGTAATAGGATAAGAATATGTAAGTCTGGTTTCGTTTGCTTTAGAATAAATAATAACGATATAAAAAAGTAATTTTTTATTAACAAGTAAAATTATCACATACATAGAAAGTCAACAACTTCAAATATATATATATCAAGTAAATCAATTTAAGGTAAATCAATTGATGGTTTGAGGCTTCGTATGTAGAAATAAAATAATATATTATTTAGTGAATTTTTTTTATATGTAAATAGTCATAGTTTAAAGCTTCAATTAACTTTGTATATTATGATATTAAATTATATTATGCAACAATGTTAATACTAAAACACTGATATATAAAAAAAACTATTATTAAATTTTATCAAGTAAAAGATTTATTAATAACAAAAATCTACAAATAAAAATCTAAGATGATCGTAGACATAATTTTTAGTCCCTTTTATAGGGAAAATAAAAGGTACAATTATAAATTAATACAAAATTGGTGCAAAGTGAAAGAATGTTTTTGAAAAGAGTTGTTAGTTTTATCTTATATAATTGGGGATAAAACCAAACAGCTAATTATACCCCTATATTCAGGATGATCTCAGTGACCTATGTAGTTAATGTTTAATGAACACCATACTAAGGAATACATAAGTATGAAAAACCACACACAAAAACCATGTTTTAATTTATGAATTTACCTAAACAAAAAATGAGATGTAAAAAAAGTAGTTTAAAATAAAATAATATATTTAACAAATATGCACCTAAAATTTGTTATTTTAAAGTTCACTTTGCTCTAAATATTTTAACTTTTATATATTAGTTGTGTATGTAAAAAACATGTTCTTAAATATATAAAAATAATAATATAAACTTTTATTTCATTACAAATTATAACAATTTTTATTAATAAATATCATTTTGATAGATATGAGAACTCATCAGAGACGAATACATGTTATTGTCAATAAAAAAATATAATTATATTATATTAAATTGAGTGTAATATATTTATTTCATATGAGCTTATTAAAATATTATGATTAAATAACTAATAATTGAAATGTAAATGATATGGAAGAAGGAGTTCTTGGCATTTTTCATTAGACAACCATATGTATTTTTCAAAAATGAAAAATTCAATAATACCTATAAAACTACCACATATAATATCAGATATAAAATGACGTTTTAAATATAAACGCGATATCAGTACTGAAATGACCCAAAAAAGAATTAAAAAATTGCATATTAATTTTAATATAATTGTATTAAATAAATTGAAAATAGAAATATTAAATATAATATTATTCTCATTTAAATAATTTTTCAAACAAATGATATCACTATTGCAACATAAATATTTGATGGTTATAAAGGTTAGAAGTACACATCTAGAAGCATGCCCTGATGGAAATGAATATTTATCTACTGATATCAATAATACTTCTTTTTCAGTAATGGTTAAGTTAGGTCGACTGCGTTTAAACACTCCTTTTAGTATTGAGATTATAATGACATCCAAGAGCAAATCTATTTTATATATTTCATAAAATATTTTAAATATAACTTACACCAAAGTAAATTAAGGATATAATTTTGTTGTTGTAGATATGGAGTTAATATCAATAAAAGAAAAGTTCCAATAATCCATACAAAACCATTAGCTGATATTTCTATAAATTTAAAATAAAAGTGAGTAATCGATGTAAAACGAGCAGTGGGGAGATCTTGTTTGCCTTTCATGAATAAATACAGATATTCAAAAAAAAAATTAAAATAAAACTAAACTAAAAAAAAAAGTTCAAAAAAAAATTAGATTGAGAATATTAGATTATTTTATATGATTGATATTTATCACGTTACCTTTCAATCTAAGATATGGCATTTCAAAATGTCAATAAGTATAATTTCTATATTATTATGGAAGACAAATTTTTTAAAATTTACGGTTGAATAATTAAATTCTTGTTTCTATTTTTAATATCCAGATTAGCTTATTTTATTTTTGTATAAAGTTTATTGTGGATATTCAAAATTGAATAGTGTTTAATATTGTTTTTATAAAAAAACCATTTTTATATTTTTCATTCAAATTTCCCTGAACTAAATGTAAATTTTTTGATACCACCCTGCGATTTCTTTTATAATTTTATTAAGTATTATATAGAGATATGATTTTTATTTAAAAATTAATAATCTAAATTTTTTATTAATTGAGTGCTATTGTAATTATTAGATTAGATTAATACATATAATTATATTTTCACTATGTCAGCTTACAATCAAATTCTATGTTAAAAATGGAATATCAATATCTTTCATAATGTCTAAATACCAATTTAGCATTAACAGTTGAAACTTTATTGATTTTTATTATTTAATTTTTTTTATAACCCAATTAAATAAATGTAATCATTTATTAATTGAAAATTAGCAAATTTAATACTGTAATTAGCCGAGTTCAAAATCACGAATCAACCAAACTATTTATTTTTAAATTTAATTACCATGCCTCTTTCTAAAAATATTTCCAAGGTCCAAACAATTATATGAAATTTCTTTATAAAATGTAAGTAGACATATAGTGGATAATCTTCTATTATATAGAATTGTTTACAAAATATTAGGTAAAATTTCACTTTTACAGACATATTTGTACAGTAATATTTTAATAAACTTTACTAATCAATGCTTTTGATCAGTTGTCTACATGGCAGAAAATTTGATGGAGGCAAACCCCTCCAAAATCTACCCATATCCACCTAAAAAAAATCCCGCGGCCATCAGCTGCGAAATTTAAAGACCTACGATGGTATAGTGATTTTATTTAAAAAATCTTATAATAAGCCACCATTTATAACCTTACAGCATAATTCTATTTACAATCTTTCAAGCCTATTTAGGGAAAAAAATTTTTAAAAATTTGTAGGTGATAATCAACTTATATTTAAATAATGCAATCTTTTCATAATTTGGTTGATATTCATTTTATTTTCATAAAATATATATAAGTGAATTAAATGAGATAACATATTAATATTTCTATAAAAAAGATCTAAAATATTGTAAAAAATATAATAAGAATAAATTTAAAGAGGTATATTTAGCTTGATTCCACATACCTATATTACCTTTTAATTAATTAAAAACATGTATTGTAAATTGAGCCATTATATAAAATATTAGAATAAAATGAATTATAGTATATTTTGCATTTGAAATTATAAAATGTTAAATTAAATTTACATTTTTTAAAAGCGTATATATTCGCTGTGAAATATATACATTACTTATTTTATTAATAATTTGGATAACCTTATAGATGTTAATGCAAATTGTGTTTTAATATCATCAATTGTAAATTTTTCAAAAACATCAATTCGCTGGATATTAATTAACAATAAATTTTTTAAAAATGGGTCCGAAATTTTATTCCGCATTCGAGTTTTGTTAATTTTTACTTTACTCATGGCTCTTTCGGCTGAACCGGAAGTTGTAGGAAGGGTTAATAAATATTTATATAAAAAATTTAAATTAGAATAAGAATTTAATTGACTTAAAAATCGATATGATCCATTTTCTTATTTTGATCATAAATTCGCTGTTGATATTTTCTTCGGTAGTTTGATCGCTTGCAATACCTTTAATTATATACAATTACAAATAAAATATCAATAAATTACTTTCATCAATATATAACGCGTCATTCTTTTTAATTTTCAAAAGATCTGATTAAGACTCCAAATATAAAGAGCGAAAATCATTATATAACCTCGGAGATTGAAAATAAATAAAAATCAATTAAATATTAAAACGCAAAAATTAATTAAACACTAAAACGCGAAAAAATAAAAGTCATTAAAACGCGAAAAATTAAAACGCTAAAAATATAACAATCTTATTGATTTATCATTCTTCACTTATTTTTATATTTTGATGAACTATTATTTCTTATTATTCGCAACTTACTGATGATAATAATGATTTTGAAAAATGATAAAAATAACAACGTCACGGAATTAATAAATTAAAATATTGGTTATTGAATAGTAATATATTTTAATTTATATTGCATACATTCATTATATTTTTATTTTGTTAGGAATTCAAATTCAACTTGTATTACTTTTTATGAATTCAAATTTAAATTTTCAATTCAACTTTTTATTTTTGTAATTCGACTTATATTACTTATTATTTTTCGTAACCTTACTTTTTGTTTTTATATATATTCTAATTTATATTTTAGAAAATGTATATATACCTTAAGAAAAGAGAAAGAAGTTAGTTAATAAAATATATTTTTACTGACTCGCTCTTCGTGTCATATCTTTAGTTTCCTCGTTCTTTTCAGTATAAATAATAAAATTGGCCTTATTATTTAAAAAGATTTAAAATAAATAAAATTTTGGGTGTTCCTTTCTATTTTTATAAAAAAACTTTTAAAATACTATAAATCTATTTTTTAAAAAAATAAAATTTAGAGGGTGTTGTGCATTTGCAATGTTTAAAAATAATTATTTAGAAAATATTATAATAAGGTAAAATAAATATACATAACATAAAATAACAAAAAAAAGTAAAGTAAAATGATCAGATCGGTTTTTACAGGTATCTGCCCAATCCGATATTTTGGGAAACGCTAAATATCGGTGCCGATCCTAGCCGATATTTTAAATCGGCACAGCTCTATTTATATTTTAATTCTATGATTAAGCTTTTCAAAATATTATTCTTTTATTAAAGTAATGATTAAAATAATGATATATTAATTCATCTTTTAACTGAATATTTTTATTAATTACAAGATAAATAAAGTATTATAATTTCGTTATCGACAATTTATATCAAGGTATGTTATGATAATAGTAAAAAAAAAATAATATTAGTAAATCACAATTATATAAAGTCATTAATTCTTGTAATTTTTTATTGATTGAGATTCAAGTTCCCTTTTAGCGCTAACATTATAATAGGCAACAAAATGGCCTAAGTCTATACTATGCATAGGATGTTCAATTACGAGATTTCGGATATTGAAAAAATAAAGCTGAGATAATTATATTTTACTATGTTTATGGGTAATCGTTGGCGTAGGTAGAATCCCTCGTTGGGATCCTCGGTCCTAGCAGAAATCCATTTTCCCAGCTCTTTAAAGAAGTCTAGGGCATGAGAGCCGAACGACGTTAGAGTAATGACGATTAATGGTAAGAATGTATAATTGGCGGGAAGAGATGGTGAATATTTAGCTAGTTTATTCGCCTCGGCATCTAGTATGGCATCTCTATTTATATTGGAAGGAACTAGAGAATAGATGTGAGAAATCCCAAGTTAGGAATTCCCTTCTCTTTCAAGGAATCATAGTCGAACCATCGGAATTGTAAAGGCCAGTAGGTTCGAGGGTTGATGAGATGCCGGCGGATTTGAAGGCCCTGGCAATGGTATCATTGCATTTTGAATGCCTAATGAATCTGCCTCTACAGCGCTTACAGTGTAGAGAGTGACGGCCTTAGGATTTGACCGACGTTTGTCAGAGGATACAGTTATAAGGTATTACCATATCGCAATTCAGTCTAAGACCGATGGCGTGACGTAGCTTATCATTGCTTAGGAGCTGGTCAAGGTTTCGGGATGGGAAAGCCTCAAGAAATTCGTATCCACTACCTTTGGAAATGGAGAAGAGTAGAAAATGGTCCTCTGGCTGGCTCCTCGATTTAAGGAATGCAACGGAGTTGCCAACTAGAAGTTTATCCCAATCCTTCTGTAATGCCGACGATGGAGGATCGACTAATGAGAGGGACTTCCATAGATCAATTTCCTGTAGGAGTAAGGGGTCAGGATGTTTTGTTAGTGTTTGAATGGTGGGCTCGCAGGACAGGCGAGAGGATATGAACGCACTAACAGAAAGTAGGGAAGGTGACCTTATACCAATGCCGCCGGATTTGGTTGGTAAGATAGCCTGTAACCATGATAATTCCCCAAATTTAAGATTGAGTATATCTTCTGTTAGGCGTTTAATATCCAGTTCGTGTGAAGCGAGGTTGACGTCATATTGAAAGATCCGTGACGCTCGGAGTGTATATAAAATTCTTGAAATTAAAAGGTAGTTCTTTAATAAGAAGAAGGCTTGGTGAGCTGGGACGAGATAGTGTATCGCGCATAAGGGATATCTCTCGTAGAATATCGGCAAATAACTTGATAAAGGACTCGTCTTTACCTACTGGAGATCATATTCGCTTTAGTCTTGATTAACTCGAAGTCCCAAACTTTTCTCGCTGGATTTTATTATTTGGATTGCCTTCATAACTTCAGTTGGTGGGCCGCCTAGTATACCATTGTCAATATACCAGTTATGAAGATTTAGCTTGCATTGTTCATTAATGTCTCGTATTAGACTATTAATGCCCAGACAGAACAAAAAGAAACCTAGAGGGTCACCTTTTTGTATCCCATCGTTAGAAGGAATCAATCTATCTCCGAATTGAAGATGCGAGGGATTAGCATAACAATCGAAGATAAATTGTGAGAATTCTGGGTAGAGGGTGAGGATAGGATTTAGAAAAGCTCCACGTCTTATAGAGTTAAAGGCGTTCGAGAAGTCTATTTTGACTAGGATATTGTTGGTGTGGTCCGTTTGCAGCATCCTGGTCATGTGAAGGGATACCTCACATTCACCTTTTACGTTGACTCCTAATTGATTCTGTAAAGGTGATTGGATATTGTGACAATAATCTGCTAACTACTAGTTTGACAGTTAATCGGCGCCAAGTGGTTAATGCTTTTTTAAGTGTGAACTGCTGGACATTGAGGTTGAAATATTTGTGTTGAAATATAATTT